AATATACATATTTGTGTTTTCATTAGTGTGAAGTCACCTGGAAATAAAAACCACGGTGGTGTAATTACTGCTTTAAACCTCACAGAGTGTGAAACAGTGCAGTGGTGGAAGTGACGCCAGTCTGCTTTTCACATAAATAAACCCGGCGGGTATGATGAAGATGATGAACAAGGTGTACACCCACTCCGTTGTATTTGATGCTGCGATATGTTAACACAGCCTTATGCGATTTTAATAACTGCGTTCCTCCCAGCCACTTTCGCTCTGACTATTTAAATGAATTCACTTCCTGCATGTTGCGGCACAACAATACCAGCAACAACAATACCCTCTGACCAGCAATAAGCTTATTGCTCACATTAACATCCACTTATTCATAAAAAGATTTTTGAAGACAGAAAGAAAAAGAAACAGAGCAGAAAATGGAAATGTTCTTTGCCTCCATTCTCCCCCTGTGCCCTGTGCCTGTTTTGTCCATGAACGATTAATCAGTGAATGACTTCCTGTGTAAACACTGAGCACGGTGTCACAATGCTGCACCGCAGTACAAAACACACAAATGCCTCAAAGCTGTGAAAACTGCTTTGGCCTGTTCGACTTCATGAGCCAATGAAGGAAGGTGACCATGCTCGCAGATTGTTTTGCTGACCGTGCATGCAGTGGTGAAGCCTGATGAAGTGGATAGGTACCTCAGGTTACGTTTATATTCCTTTACTTTCACGACGTTCAGGAGGAAGATTACTCAGGCTAAACTTTAATCAGACTCATGTGAGGACATGAAAAAATCCGATCCCAAGCAACAACACAGGAAGTAAAACCAACGAGGAGTGACAGAGTGAATAGCAAAGGCACACACAGACAAAGTGTCGGTGGCTTCTGACTTCCTGTCTGAATAACAGGCTGTGGCGTGTTTCATGATGTGGGCCACAGCCCTTCAGATACGGTTGAGTCTCCGCCCAGTCATCGTCAGGCTCAGGATCAATGATTACTGGAGACGTCTGTCCGGTTCTTTTTGAGATCTGTTAATCTCACTTAGCTGGACTTCTTCTTCTTCTTCTTTATTTTTTTAATCTCATTTCTAAACCAGACTGAACATATATGATTATTTATATTAATATTTCCACAAATAAGAGGTGATGTGCGATGTCACTGATAAACACGTGTTATTGCCTGCAAGGAGCTTCACATGAATCCAGTTTTTATAGAAAACCTCAGCAGGTTTAACTGTCCCACAAAGACAACCACTGTAAATGTAATCTGATTACATTACTCAATGAGGTGATCAGGTGATAGGACTGACACACCTGCTCTTCTGTCTTTGCACCAAGAAACCTGTTTTAATTTGAAATTTTTTCATTATTTTACATTTAATTTTGATTTGATTTTAAACTACTTTGATTATGTAAATTGATGTTAGTTACTTGATTATCATCTCTCACACCCAAAGTGCTTCATCTGCGATCAGTGAATCAGAAGCTGATTCGAGTCTCACCATCGCAGACAAAGTGATCGTTTACCTGCAACATGATGCTAAATATTAAATATGGATGCTGCGTCTGTTTCCTCCATGTCTTATCAGCCATATTAGTTGTGGGAACAGCAACAACAGGTAATTCTGGTAAGAGTGATGGTAATAAGCTGAAAATGTTCTTTAGCAGTGTGGAGCATACAGAGTACGACACAGAGACATGAGGAGGACAATCTTGGATCCCAAAGGGATCCAAAAGAAAAAGAAATGATGGACAGAGCGATGCATCATTTATTCGTCACCTGCCAGGTGTGTGCAGATGTAGCTGGTATTCTGGGAATCACATTTGTATGTTTAGGTTCTTTGTGGGTGTTTGAGCGTGACTGTCAAACTCTGAAATGTGGATATTTTTAATCTGAGAGGTCACACAAGCACCAGATACAGTATAGTATACAGCAGCGGTTCCCAACCCCCAGGCCTTGGACCAGTATCGGTCCGTGAGTCGTTTGGTACCGGGCCGCGAGAGTTGAGGCTCTGGTGTGAAATGTATGGTTTTCAGGGTTTTTATCGGTTTTCAGCGTTATTTTGTTATCGTTTTTATCGTTAACTCGGTTTTCCTGGATCTTTTCACGTGTGTTATGAATAAATCTTCTTTTTTTCGGTACCGGTACTAGTTTTATTTTGTTGTATTTATCCGCGACACCTTAAAGGCCGGTCCGGGAAAATATTGTCGGGCATAAACCGGTCCGTGGCGCAAAAAAGGTTGGGGACCGCTGGTATACAGTACATTAGATCACACATTGTTGTGCCTCCACAGAGCCCACAGATCCTGATCATTAACCAGGGAGCGCAAAACTAACTGACTAATGAATGTCCTCCAGTCCAGAGGTGGTGCTGCACGGAGTGTCACACCAGGAGGCTTAATTATGTGTTTGTGGTGAATAACATGCCTATAACACCGGTATTACAGTCAAATATTAGTACAGGATAAGTACAAATATTTTAAAAAGTCACCACGCAGGAAATCCAACTTCTAATGACGTTCATTATGGAACGCCATGGATTCTTCCTCCCGAAAGCAAATAACATGCGCTGTTGGAAAACTGTGCTATGGAGGTATAGAATATTAATATGAGTGCAAAATTAAATTTAGCATGCAGTTCTGCAGACTAAATTTAATTTGATGTTAAGTTTGAACATTTGTGGATGAAAACAGTTTGATTCCACAGCGGCAGGAACACAGCAGAGCCGACAGGAAAGACAGAAACGCCCCGCGACTCAAACATGAAGGCTCCAGCAATATCTGACATCCATGTGTGTGTCCTGCAGAGAACAGGTATGGCAATGGTTGAGAAAACTGAAACCACACAAAAACCGTAGCTCACAGTCGTGTAGAGCTCAACGTCTGCCTGAGCAGGAGTTTGCTTCACATTCTGCACACAGCACCTGAAATACTCCTGAAACACAGCACAGCACCTGAAATACTCCTGAAATACTCCTGAAATACTGCACAGCACCTGAAATACTCCTGAAATACTTCCGAAATACTGCATAGTACCTGAAATACTACTGAAACACTGCATAGTACCTGAAATACTCTTGAAATACTACCGAAATACTGCATAGTACCTGAAATACTCTTGAAATACTACACTGCATAGTACCTGAAATACTCTTGAAATACTACGAAATACTGCATAGTACTGAAATACTGCATAGTACCTGAAATACTCTTGAAATACTACCGAAATACTGCATAGTACCTGAAATACTCTTGAAATACTACCGAAATACTGCATAGTACCTGAAATACTCCTGAAATACTGCATAGTACCTGAAATACTCTTGAAATACTACCGAAATACTGCATAGTACCTGAAATACTCTTGAAATACTACTGAAATACTGCATAGTACCTGAAATACTCTTGAAATACTACTGAAATACTGCATAGTACCTGAAATACTCGAAATACTGCATAGTACCTGAAATACTCTGAAATAACACTGCATAGTACCTGAAATACTCTTGAAATACTACTGAAATACTGCATAGTACCTGAAATACTCTTGAAATACTGCATTACATGAAATACTCCTGAAATACTGCATAGTACCTGAAATACTCTTGAAATACTGAAATACTGCATAGTACCTGAAATACTCTTGAAATACTCCTGAAATACTTCCGAAATACTGCATAGTACCTGAAATACTCTGAAATACTGCATAGTACCTGAAATACTCTACGAAATACTGCATAGTACCTGAAATACTCTTGAAATACTACCGAAATACTGCATAGTACCTGAAATACTCTTGAAATACTACTGAAATACTGCATAGTACCTGAAATACTCCTGAAATACTGCATAGTACCTGAAATACTCTTGAAATACTACTGAAATACTGCATAGTACCTGAAATACTCTTGAAATACTACCGAAATACTGCATAGTACCTGAAATACTCCTGAAACACTGCATAGTACCTGAAATACTCTTGAAATACTACTGAAATACTGCATAGTACCTGAAATACTCTTGAAATACTACTGAAATACTGCATAGTACCTGAAATACTCTTGAAATACTACTGAAATACTGCATAGCACCTGAAATACTCCTGTATACTCCTGAACCACTGCACAGTACCTTAAATAGGAGGTAGGCAGGATTAAAAGGAGTGTGAGGAGCTAAGAACACCTGGGCTGAGGATAACGAAGGGAACAGAGGGACAGAATCTGTATGAACCTGTGTCCTGTATGAAGACATGATGTCCACCTATGGCTACATGTTTCTGTGTAATAGGCGGCGATGAAAGGTGTTGCAGATGTAACAACTTCCTGTCTTTTTCTTAAACATACATGACTCATATTTCAGTCACATAAACAGCCTCTGCTCGATGATTTGACCCTTCCAGCAGAAACAGGACTGCACTGCATCATTTGTCTTTCCTAAGCACAGATAAGATCCTTCTATTAAAACACACTGAAAAAATAACATATTCAACACATGTGTCCTTATTGCTGTTAAACACGTTTCTACCTTCACACACTGAATTAGGTGGACGAGTCAGAAATCAAGGCAGCGTTTGAGTGTGCAGGGACAGGAGAGGGTACTTACAGAGATAAGGTCGTCTCTAACACACATGGAAACACAGTTTTCTCAATTCAACCCTGGCGTGATGAAAGATTACTACTGAAATACCAATAAACAGAAATACTGCAGTAATACACTAAAGTCTGGGGTGAGTGTAAAACCCTGCGCTACATGTGCTCTAATACCAACAAGCTACATTCAAACTTTAAAATGCCTGCGTGCACCAGATGTCGTGCAAGTTTTCCTAAATGTTCAATTAGTTTTGAATGTTTTCCCAACATTTAGAGAAAAAAGGGGCAACAGCACCCACACCCACAGCATCCAGGTCAAGCTTGTCTGTGTGCAGACCAATAAACACTGTGCTATATGACTGTAAATGGGTGGGCCGAGTATGACTGCACACCTTCGGTCTCTGGGTGGGACAGGACTTACTTGAGCACGTGCGTGGAGCCGTTTATCTGCGTGGCCGTGCACGGAGCGCCGGAGCCGAGGATGGACGGTCTGCGGTACCTCTGCCTCCCGCAACACAGGATGATGAGGAAGGCACGGCGGAAGGACTTGTTGAGGAACGCGTAGAGGATGGGGTTCAGCATGGAGTTGATGTAGCCCAGCCACAGGCAGGCAGCCCACAGCTGTTCGGGCACGGTGTAGTCTATAAAGGGGTCCACAACATTGGTAACGAAGAACGGCGCCCAGCACAGGCAGAAGCAGCCCATGATGATGCACAGCGTCTTTGCCGCCTTAGTTTCTGTTCGCATGCGGTGGTTGCGCTGATGGTCGGCAGAATCCGGTGCACTGGCGCCAACCCCACCAGAAGTCCCGGCGGCACTGGTACCAGCTCCTCCGGCCCGCTGCAGCATACTGATCTGCAGGGCGTGCGCCCGGGCTGTGATGTAGATCCTCTGGTAGGCCAGCACCATGAGGACCAGAGGGATGTAGAAGGCCACCAAGGAGCAGGTGAGCGCGTACGGCTTGTTGACCATGAAGACGCAGGACGTAGTGTTGCTGCTGTTGTTGAAGCGCCGCTCGTTAATCTGGTGAAAGAGCAGGGAGAAAAGTCAGTGCGCACACAGGCTCAGCTCGCTGCTGCGACCAGCTGACCTTGCCGTCCGTAACATGCGACCAGCTATTCCACTTTATCTGTTTTTCTCTAGTTTTACTCTTATTTCATTTGACCTTTGGTTTTAAATTCAGTTTCCTGGGTGAATTTTCTTATTTGAGTTCAGCTTTTACTACATTCATCGTTTTTAATGATTGTATGCAGGGCACGTGTCAGAGGCAGGAAAATCTGTGCAGGATGTCTGTCTCCAGAAACACATCCATCAAAGCCCGTAATGACTGAACTAACGGGGACCAAAGCGCTCTCTGCAGTCGTTCATTCTAATTTGATCATTTTTATTTTATTCTAGTGCTTTTATTCTAAAAGCACTAGAATAGTGCTTTTAGTTTTCAAGAGTCTAGTTTGTCTGTTTGGCGTGATACGGGATTTGGGCATTTTTAGGAAAAGCACTGAACCTGCTCAGTGACCCATGATGTGATCAAAAGGTCCATTTACAGTGTAGAAACACGGTATATCTGATATTTATTCCTATAAAATATGCTGCTTACATTTTGTTGGTAGAGTCTTGCTATGCTCTGGTTCTGATGCTCAGGAAGGCAAAAAAATAGAAAACTAATCATTGGCTGTCAGGTGAGTTCCTTCCACAGTGCAATGATGTGACATTAATCATGGATCAAATCTTTCTTCAAATACTACACGACTCCTCGCTGTACCACTTATAACAGCTCCATTTACAGTCAGCAAAACTCCGGGGACATTCTTATTTGCATGTGTCCTTAAAATGTAATTAATGTAAGCATGCAAAGAAACTTCCAAACTCCTATGAGGACACGTCGGTCTAATTTATGAAGTTACACAAAGCTGAAATGATCAGAACATTAAAAGAACATTATGATAACAGTAAATGTTAGTATGGCAGAGTGTTTCAGAAAAAGCTCAGGTGACACAATGAAGGAACACCTGAAAGACTCAAACCTCACTGATGGAAATGATCAGGATAAACCACAGAGCTGTCTTCATAAAGTCATCAGCACATCAGAAACAGCAGTGACACGAGCCCCAGCTGCCTGACAGGTCTGCACAAAACACTCGTTTCCACGTGATCTGTGCCAAAATCACTTGCAACACTCAGCAGCTTAATGAGCCCCACAAGAGCTGCTGCCACAGTGTGAGTGTGTGTGTCTATGACTTTATGTGTGTCTGTGTGACCCTGGTCCTTGTGTTGACAGGCAGCTCAGAGAAAGTTTTGCTGGCGTTTCGATGAAGATGGACGGGGTGAGCGAGGTTAAAGGTGGCAGGGGACAATCTCTCTCTCTTTCACAGTCTCCTCGTGCACTCGCTGTCTAACCTTCCCTCTGTGTTTGTTTTTGGTCACACACACATGTGAGAATGATTTCCGCAATGCTCATGTTGTTAAAGACTTTATTTATCAGACTGTTTATGACACCAGAGCCGATCACCTCTGAAAACAGCGAGCAGCAACCGAGACAGCTGGAGGAATATAAATGAGTGTGTAAGGCAGGATGGACACACACACACACACACACACACACACACACACACACACACACACACACAGGGACACTGACTGATCCACTCATCACAGAGGTAGTAACCTGCTCTCTCCTGAATCAGTGGATTTATACAGACTGACAGTAAATATTAGGGCTGGGTATCGTCACTGATTTCTAGAATTGATTCGATTCCGATTCGCAAGGTCCTGAATCGATTCGATCCACGATTTGATTCAATGCGATTTGAATCTTGGAAATTTTGCCTCAGACAGTCAGAAATATTAGAATTCAGATCAGTACATTTACATATTTTTGCATCTATAAAAAGGAAGCTGACACTTTCCAGACTTTACCAAAGGTATGAGCATCACAGCAGATGCCTTTGTGTCAAAGTAGCTGAAGATAAAACACAGAAAAACATGAAGATGATTTTCCTGGCCGGGGATTTTATAAAAATATTCTGCAGTAGATCAAAAACGAAAGAAAACCATTAATCAATTTATGAACATTACCTCTGAAGTTACAGAGGTTTTATTAGAGACACGGCTAAGCGTTTTGCATTTTGTATAATTTTAAAAAGTTTAAATCTGAAACATCAGAATCAGCGAGCTGTCGGCTTTCAGCCCCGACTGTGTCCGTGCGGGTGAGAAAGGCGACATCTCACTGATTCTGATCTGCGGTCCGCGCTTTGTGTTTACGTCTTTGTGCAGAAGCCGTGGACCTGCTCTCATTTACTGTTTTAAATGTTTGGTGGTTGTCAAAATTTTGTGACATTTCACCTGAGATTCTGGAATTTTGGGCAAAATACATTTATATTAAAAAATCGATTCAGGATTTTAATGAATCGATATCACGTTATCCAAGCCAGAATCGATTTTAATCGATGAATCGATTATTAAAACCCACCCCTAATAAATATGATCAGGGGGAGATGGTGGAGAGGATGAAGGTGCTCTGTGGGCCAGTGCTGCTCTTCAGGCTGTGTGTCGGGCAGAGTGGAATCGCTTTTACTGAGTCACAGCTAAGTGAGAATGTTATCTGCCCCGTTCTCGTCCCAACACCAGGGCAGCCCGATCCACATCTGCAGGGGGTGCAGGAGCAAATCGTCTCTGTTCCTTGTGATCACTGTGGCTTATATGGAGCGAAACACCTCAGTCTCAGTGGACTGTTTTCACCGAGTGGAAGGTGGATGGGTTAAAGCAGAGATTTCCACATTTAAACAGCAGAGAACACAGAGTATATCTGACATGCTTACAAAGCAGAGGTTTGGCAGTAAGGTTAACTTTTTACCCCTGAACTCAGAGCATTCTCCATATTTAAGGCAGCTTATAGTCAGAATGACTGCGTGTGCATCAGAAGGCAGTGATGCTGGTCTCAGGAACTATTCTAATGACTTCATGGATATACACTGAGGGGTCAGAGGTCATCGAGCTGCTGAATGTTGCCTTCACATCAGTGAACCTCACCTGCAGCTTCACAGGTGTACCTCTGAAGTCAGAGACGCCCACGTTTCTGCACATGACACCAAAGCTGTGACCTCATTAATACTCAGTCAGTTATTCCCGACACGCGGAGAGAAGATCAGAGAGTTCTTACACCTGAGACAGGTAAGGTGTGGTCATCGTCAGGCAGCTGAGCTCCACACTGACCTCTCTGCTCACACTGTTTCCATCTGTCTTACATCTGGATGTTAATCATCCACAGTATAATACACAGGAATATGTAGGCTGGTGGGAGGGAAACACACGTGTAAATATTCTGGGATGTTCCAGGGAAAATTAGTGTTTCCAGAGTGTCCCGGGCGCTCGTCTCAGTGTTTAGGAACTCAGTGATTTTATGAATTTTCTTTTTCAGATGGAAAACTTTCAGAGGGCAAGAAGAAATAAACATTTAAAGGGACGAGTTTTTTCCTGAAAGCCTCATAGACGCCGGTCTGAGTGAAACCCGTTTGTCCAGACTGAATCTGTGAGCGCGTCATTTTGTTTCCGTTCTTTGCATGGCGCTTGTGTCACAGCAGATCTTAAACTGAACTCAAACACAACTCGACCCTGTGTCTGTGGTGTCGGCAGCCTCGTCTGTCTGTCTCTGTGTCTGATATGCTGTTGTTGTTGTTGTTGCCACAGCGACGCATGAAGCATTTCTTCTTTGTGTAAACAAAACTTCCCAGAATCCCATTTTTTTTTCTGTTTATGCTAAACATATTTTGTTCAGCTTTTTTCCATCTTTGGCTCGTCTTTGTGTCTCCTCGGGCAGCTTTCACTTCCACGAACTTGTGAAAAAGATCCCCCCTCCCACGCGGTCGCCAGCCCGCAGCACTCACCAGGTGGTCGATGCCGATACTGTTCCAGCCCTGCATGATGGGCAGGAAGGAGATGAAAGTGGGAATGACCCAGCAGCCGCCGATCATTAAAGCCACTCGCATGGGCGTCATTTTGTTCCGGTAGACCAGAGGCTGGCAGCAGATAGCGTAGTATCTGCAGGGAGATGACAGAGAGAGAGCGTAAGTATGATTACAGGAATCAGACTCACACACACTTATTAAAAATTGCCACAAACACACAGTTTCACCCCAAACCTGACAAAGAGAAGAAGAAGAAGAAGAAGAAAAGGAAGCGAGCTGTGAAATGGTTCGATAGGTAGAGCACGTGAAGGTTAGAGGAATCGACAAGTCCGAGCATCTCTTATTTTATTTTCTGTTGCCTGGAATAAATGAGCAAATCCATGAATAGAGCCAAAAACACAAAGAGTCACTGTGAATAAACTGGCTTCTGTCCCCCCGACCTCCTGGCTCTGTTTTCCAGTTTCAGAGAGCGAGACAAGAGGACATTTCCACCATCCTGCATTTACAAAAACATGCTAACCGCGAATAAAAGCCACCAATTAGCACTGACTTCAGCAATGAAATGGTTCCCATTACCTTCCCGTAATGTCTCTTTCCACTCTGTCTTTCTTTGAGCCTGTCTCTCATCATCATCCATCATCATCATCATCATCTCTGTACCTCTTCTCTCATCCCACCCTCACGTCTCGCCTTTCTGCTTTTGTCCTCCATCTGTTCTGCTTTGATCCCACCCTTCGATCACAGTTTTATTGCCCCATTCTGCATCCTGAAGGTTCAGCTGAAGACCAGAGGAGCCATGCTGACACCATCACCGACCATCTGAGCCCTTTTCTTCACACCGTTCAGCCACTTGTCTCCCAGAGGCACAAACCCGGATCCTCTGCTGCATCTGCCAGTAACCCAACACTGCACACAGGGGGCTGGGCCTGTGGTGGGGTATTCCTTTAAATATTATTTAAAATCAATAATAATGATGATTCTGGCCTAACTCTAACCCTGCCCTATTAAACACAAACTCCTCCCTGTGATGTTCAATCAAACTTCTGCCTCTTCACACACTTGAGGGAAGCTCCACGTCTCACTCTAAGCAACAGACTGGGAGAGACATGAAACCGAAGGAAGGAGAGGAAGCTATTAAAAAAGGCAGTAAAGATAAAAACAAAGGAGGAAGAGGAAAAGAGAAATGAGAAGGATGAGGATAAAGAGGCTGATTAATCATTTTATCAAAGCTCTGATGACAGATGTGGTGTTCCTCATGGGAACAAAGCCTCCATATCTGCACTTTTATCTGGTCACTGAGCTCACGCCTGTTCCACCGTGACAGGAAACAGATAAAGTCAACCAACCAAAATGGACCTCCTGACCTCCTGCACACAAAGTGCTTCTGTGAGCCGCTGTATGTTTGTTTCAGGTGTAAAACTTCTTCCTGTGCTGAAGCTGCAGAGTCTGCAGTCTTGTGTGGATGGTTAGAAGGTGAAGACCCAGAAACAGGAACCCGAAAACACACGGTGAGGGTAAGCAGACACCCTCACGCACTGAGGAGTAATGAGGATTGACCACAGCTGGGAGGAAACAAGACTGAGGCGTACTCAATTATCAGAAATGCAAGTGAAACAGCAAGTGAACAATAAGAACTGATGAGGGAAATGCAGACCACCAACAAATAGGAGAATGCTGTAAAAGTCCAAAAATATAACTTGAAGTCAGAATACGAGGAATACAGAACAGAAGACTCCCACGAGTTCTTCTACTTGATTTAAGCTGTTGCGTTAAAGGTGGTGTTTGATATTCAGGTGATAAAATAGCAGTTTAACCAATCAGTATACTGCAATAGTTTTTGCACATGCCCACAAGTTTTACAGGGTAAAGTAACAATTTCAATCTTATTGTAACAGACGTAGCAGACAGGGCCACATATTGCACACGTTGACTTTTCAACACTTTCTTTTATTTCCGGTTGTCATAACTTACACACAACTGCAGCTTTTCAGTTGCCAGCCAAACACACCAACAACAACGACGCCCCCAGGACCCAGTTCATTCTGCTTTAAGCAGAGTGTGATTGCTGATGCTGCTCAGGTGTGTCCGCCTCCCCCACAGCTGCACCACAGACCATGCCCTGCCACACTTATATATTTCAGCTCTGTAATATTCTTGATATTTAATTTGAAATATTTGTATATATATTAGAGCTCTTTGTTATACTTTGTAAACTTTGTAATATAAAGTATTATTTAATTAATTCAGCCTGTTACTGTTTTTATTGTCTTTCCTCAGGGATTATTAAAGTGTGCTTAATCTCT